CTCCCCCGTCCCGGCGCCCAGCCTGTCCTCCGAGCCCCTCTCCTCTCCAGCTCTCGGCCTGTCCCCCAGCAAACGCCTGGCATGGCACCTGTGTTTTAGGTAAGACGCCATGATAGGTGCCGAGGGAGGGAGCGGGGAGGGGGCGAAGTGAATGAATGAATGTGTTTATATTCTAGGAGCATCTGGCTACTGACTCAGGCTTAGAACTTCTCAATCATTTTAGCAGACCGGGATGCAACTCCCGAGTCACAATATCAAACACTGAGCCGTCTGGGTGCGCTCCTACAGCGTGCTTGTCCCGGGACCGCAGGTGGCCATGGACCGTGCGGCCCGGCCTCCCCCGTGCCGCGGAGCACCGCGTGGTCCTGCGACTCTGCTGCTTCCCTGACGGCTACCACATAAGGGACGACTGCCTTCCGTGGGCCAATGCCATCAGCTACCTCGTTCTTTTCTTTCTTGTTTTAATGCGTCTAAAAGACCAGAACAAGACACAGCTCCGGTCCTCCCACCATCAGCCATGCTCACTCAGAGGGCAGGGTCCTCACCAGCTCTCGGTGTGAAGAGCCTGCCAGACACAGACCTTCCCAAGTTGTCTTTCATCTTTCCTTAGATTTCAAATCAGCCTTCCCAAACCCCGAACACACACAGACGCTGAGAGGTGGAGTCCATCTGCAAACCTCCCTACTCCCTCATGTCATCACGATCAGTCCCAGAGAACTCTGCTGAATTCATTAAAAATATGAGCAAGATTTGGTTACCAGCCCGGCCAGTTTCCCAGTGGTTAGAACATCGGGCCCTCAGACTGAAGGGTCTCGGGTTTGTTTCTCCAGACAAGGGCACATACCTCAGTTGCAGACTTAATCCCTGGCTCTGGTCTGGCACATGCAGGAGGCAACCAATTGACGTGTCTTTCTCACATCGATGTTCCTCTCTCTCTCTCTTTCCGCCCCCCCCCCACCTTCCCTCCTGCCCTCCACTCTCTCTAAAGAAATCAATGGAAAAAAACATCCTAGGGTGAGGATAAAAAATATTTGGTTACCCAAAACAAACTGCTACAATAGAAAAAAAAAGTTTTTTTAAAATGCCAAATTTTATTAATATGCATCAGTAACAATATGTTCACCTATGCTTTTGCTATTACTAGATAGGGATAGAGTCTGATTTAATAATTAAACACATGAATCAACAGTTAATTTAATAACATAAAAGTGGTAGATAATTTTGTATTTTCAAAATTGCATTTCATAAATTAAAAATATCCACAGGAAACAAGGTAATGAAGACGGTGTGGTACTGGCCTGGGATAGACATACAGCTCGGTGGATGGAAAACAGCTTTCAGAAATAAGCCCATATACCTGTGGCCAACGGCTTTTTGACAAAGGTGCCAAGACTACTCAATGGGGAAAAGTAACCTTTTCAACAGAAGGTTCTGGGAGAAGGTTCTCCTGCCATTTGCAAAAGAAAGAATTTGGACTCTTAAAAAAGGTATATAAAAATTTAATAAATTTGAGAACATTTACTCACAAAGGTATATGTCCTTGCACCATTATTCACAGTAGCCAAGATATGAAAACAACTGAAGTGTCCTTCGATGGGTGATTGAAGAAGATGTGGTATATATATGCTATGGAATACTGCTCGGCCGTAGAAAAGATGAAATACTGCCATTTGCGACAACATGGATGGACTTTGAGAATATCATGCTAAGAGAAATAAATCAGACAGAAAAAGCTAAGAACCATGTGATTTCACTCACATGTGGGATATAAAACTGAGACTCATGGACAGAGACAACAGTATGGTGGCTACCAGAGGGAGGGGGTGGGGAGGTAGTAAAAGGTAAAGGGGGCCAAACATATGGTGATGGAAGATGCTCTGACTTTGGGTGGTGGGCGCAGGTGACGTATTACAGAAATGTACACTTAAAACCTATATAATTTAAGTAACCAATGTCACCCCAATACATTTAATTTTAAAAAGTTAATATAAAGACCATATAAAATAGAGACCATATAAAAATGTTACTCAAAATGGATCCAATCAGTTTAAGAGCTAAAACTAAAAAACTCTTAGAAGAAAACATGAGTAAATGCCATGAGCTCAGATTTGTAGTTTCGGATATGACACCGAAAGCACAAGCAACAAGAGGGAAATAGATACGCTTCATCAGAGCTGAAAAGATGTGTGCTCCAGGACGCTGTGAGGAAAGTGCACGGACAGGCTAGCTAGTGGGGGAAATATGGGGAAATCATGCCCAATAAAGGACGTTTATCTATAATATATAAAGGACTCTTATAACACAATAAGACAACACAAGCAAAAATAGGCAAAGGATCTGAGCAGACACTCCCCAAACACACAACGGCCAACGAGGACAGGAAAAGTCCTCAAGGAAGCGCAGCACAAAATCACAACGAGATACCACTCAGTCCGCACTAGGACGGCGGGAGTCACAAAGTCCAACACGGCGACAAGAGTTGGTGAGGACGTGGGGGGATCCGAACCCTCAGGCCCTGCTGATGGGAACCTGAAAACAGCCCGGTTGTTCCACAAACAGTTCAACGTAGGAGTCACCTGTGGACCCGGGATTTCCACCCCTGTGTGCACACCAAGAGAATTAAAAACATGTCCACACAAAGACTTAGACATGGATCCAGAGCAGCATTATTTGTAACAGCCCCAAAGTATAAATAATGTGTGTCCATCAACTCGTGAACGGATAAACAAAATGTGGTACATCCACAGGAAAGAATACCATATGGCCGTAAAATGGTATGAAGCATTCATACATGTCACAACAGCCCTAGCTGGTTTGGCTCAGTAGATAGAGTGTCAGCCTGGGGACCGAAGGATCCTGGGTTCGATTATGGTCCAGGGCACATACCTTGATTGCAGACTCCTTGCTGGCCTGGGCCCTGGACGGGGCTCGTGTAGGAGGCAACCAATCGATGTGTCTCTCTCACATCAATGTTTCTCTCTGTCTTTTCCTCTCTCTTCCACTCTCCCTAAAAGCCAATGGAAAAATATCCTCGGGTGAGGATTTAAAAAAACACGAAAAAACCAACAACATACATGTCATAGCATGAACAACCCTTGAAAACATGCTGAGTGAAAGAATCCCGTCACAACCCCGACACACATTACAGGATCACATGTACTTGACCTGTGCCGGGCCATGCGGGGCTGGCGCCGCCCCCCCCGCCCTCCCCCCTCACCCCGCTGTGACCAAGCCCACAGGCCTCTCTGCAGACCAGCAGCTCTGTCCTTGGGGAGCAGCACGGACACTGTCTCCCGTACAGAGACACTTCTATGTTGAAAGCCTGAGATCACAGCAGCGTCTCCCACCAGCTGTGTCACCTGCTGCCGCCCTGGGGTCTCACATGGACTAAGGCAAATCCAATTCCTCCCAGACGGGGTGGAGCCCAGCCACCTCTCCACCTGCGTTTCTGCCATGTGATTGGTGGTGGCGCTCACACCCTCTGAGGCTTGGGCCATGGTGCGAAATGCTGAGGTGCTCTTGAATGTTCCTCCCGGGGCTGGCACAGCAGCCCCCTCCCAGCCCGAACATCCGAACATCCGGCCCCGGGAGGCCCAGAGCCGGCGGGACGGGACCAGGGCCCGCGGCGGAGCCTTCTTCCAGGAAGAGAGCAGTGTGGACCGGTCCCTCTGGACACACTCACCAGCCCGTTATTAATCCAGCTCATGTGCACATTTCCTCTTTGTCCGCATGACAAATGTTAGCCATTTAATACCCTTGTGGTAAAAAAAGTCGAACATACCTACACACAAACGCACACGATTTCTTGTTAATTCTACGCTGGGTTTAATAAATTGTCAGCACAACAGATAACAACCTCAAAGCAGACATTTCCTTCCATTAAAATTTCAATACGCAGCCCTTCTGAGAATCACACAGGAAGTGATACTAAGGATGCTCATGGCACTGCCGCTGAGGGGCTGTGGGACAGCGGGGAGGGCTGTGATGTGCCAGGTGCCAGGGGCTCCTCCCCTCGTCCTGCCTTCTCTGCGGCTGTGCCCCCACCCAGCTGCCGTCCTCCGGCCCAGCCTTCCGGCATTTCCTGTGAACAGTTCTGCGCCGCCCCCTGCTCCATTTCTCTCAGCCCCGACAGCTGCAACCCTGATGCGTGCAAAGCAACAGTCCATTAAGGAAGGAGTGTTTTCCGGGGTTTTGCTTTTTCCTTATTGAGAACAGAAAAATGGAAGAGACAAGAAAGGACAGTCCGTGGGGTGCAAGGTGAGGCCCCCATGGAGGGAAAATGAGGGAAAAGGAATTAAGCATCACAGCCAGGCACTGGCAACTAGCTGCCCGGGAGTCTCTTTCAATGTGCGGGAGGGGGAGACCCCTTCCGAGGAGGAGCCCGGAGCAGCCTCCTGGCTGCAGAACTAGTCCTTTGTGTCTGCCCTCAACAGGTGTTGCCATGGTAACTGGAGGTGAGAAAATTTATACAAAACACCATGGGAAGGGGGCGGGGGGATAAGACAGGTGCAAAACAAACATCAGACCTAAGAGGACAGCAACCCAAGACCTGCGGGCCATTGTCAGGTGTTGATGTGTGAACAGGATGCTGCAGGGACAGGCGGCAGGAGCGACAGGAGCGAGGTCCCAAGGAGCCAGGGACACCCCGTGGGGCTCAGTGCACCTGA